GTTTTGTACGTGGATATTTTTTTAATAAAAGTATTTTTTGTCATTTAGAAAAGGTGTGACGTCATCTACATGAAACATTAAATGCTATAATGTGATTGAAGTCATATTCCATGTGGATGATGTCATAGTTTTTCTAAAATATCCATATTAAAAAAGTACTCCATATACAAAACAAGGGTATAAAAATATCTAAACTTTGTTGAGTACATTGATAAATTACTCTATAGTGTGAGCACTCTATAGACGAATTGTTATAATGACGAATTATTACAATGTTTTGCGCCTGCTTAAAAACGGCAACGGACCTACGGGAGTCGTGGTGGTAGTCAATTTTGCGTAAAAAAAATTCCCATCACGAATATTCTATGTTTGTGATAGACCGCCATGGGTTATGTCTATGACGATCTTTAAGCCACGCCGTTCAAAAAAATCAAACGGCGTCGAGTCTATGAGCAAAAATATTGTTCATTTTTGCTCATACATGTTATCTAGTCTATATCTTTCTATATACATATATATAGATATAGATATATACCTGATTTTGCAAAAAAAAAGAGGTAATCAAGAGAGTGGATAGACCTAACTTGCAAGAAGAGAGAGAGGGGATTTGCATATTTACCATTAGACTGAACTTTTAAGTAGAAAGTAATGTAATAAAGAGGAGTGATAGTGGACCCAACTTTGCAAAAAGCAAGTGACCAAATCTAGAGAGAGAAAAAGAGGGATAATGCATGTCTGAAACAACAGACATAACTTCCAAGAAGCAAGTGATTTAATAATCTCATTGGAGACAAGGCACTTGGGAACGGTTGCAACCAAAATGGGTGGGGACCCATTTTCTTGGTACTATTAAATCTATCAATTTCAACCCACTGTCCATTTTCCTAAAAAATAATTCTCGTGTCTTTGGATCTCAACCGCTCATTCCAAACGCGTAGAAAAATATAATTTTGCCACCGTATGTGTTCTGATACCCCACCCCCTAATGTTCTTGGTTGGAAATATAATAAGTTTGTCAATTACTAAGGGCAATTTATGTTAATGTTCTTTTTATTTTTGTTTAACATATTAAAAATGTTTTCAATTTTACATAAAGTTGAGGATTGCATAAAGTGTCCACCGAATACAAGTAAGGCGTAGATCTAAATTTTATTGAAAGACTTCTTTTTAGGGAACCTTATGGTGTCTCTAAAACCATGTTTACGCTAGTTATTAAATTTAAAATACCAAAAGGTATAAATCTAATAGATCTATAAATATTTGAAATTTTTTAAAATAAACGGTCCAAATAACGGTTATAAGATAGTACTATTTTTAGGATTTGAATTTTTTTTATTATATTCCTACATTTTGATTTTGAGATGATTAATTAGAAGATTTTCCAACTTTTGAACACTATTTTCTATTGAATTTTTTAGGGGCACTTTATTTCTATAATATAAGATTGCAACCTTATATAAATTTTTTCCTTTATATAATCTATATATAGACTATTTTTTAGCTTTTTTTTGCCTTTTTTAAAAAAATATCTCTGCTTTAGATCTTCAAACCCCAAACCAGCCTTTGTTTCTCTTGGTTCCAAACTTAAAGATCAGGAGTGACTAATTAAGTCTCACCGGCTTGGAACTCCAATTCTGAACATGTAGCACTTATTTTTATTGAGTAACTAGTAGAGCTCAAAGTAAACAAAAACAATGTAAAAGAAAGGGATGTCACTATAAGTCCCAACAAAGACATACATACGAGGGAAACAAAAAAAAAAAAATCTGAAGACTAGAAATTTTTTTTTTGAATCATAGTTCGAATCTTGCTCCCAGTATTTTTTCTTATAAAAAAGGGATGTCACTATAAAATCAGTTCAATGGGGTACATTCATAAATTATCCTAATCCCCATAAATAAATAATAAGATTAATCGGTAATTTAAAATTAAATTGTTAAATTATAATTGATCACGCTTAAATGGTGGAAAGTAGATTCTCTTCGTCGTTTGTTTAGCGGGCACTACGGTAGGTAAGCGATTAGCGGGCGAGATTGTTTAGTTTAAGTGAATGACCAAAATGCCCCTTGACTTTCGAGCCGGTTGTGAAATTTCGCCGCCGAAGAGAAAAGGTCGGGATAATGTTACTGAAACATCGCCGGATTCTTCGAAACTTCAAGTAAACGCCAAATTTATTTTAGAGTGCGTGTTGCTTACTCCCTCTGGAGCAGGCTATTCACTTGCTCCCCCAGGCAAAACACTTAAAACGGATTGGATTACCCTCACCTGAAATTTTGACTTTAGAACAAGTAATGGAGTACTTTTAGAAAAAGTTGCCCTTATGTTTTTTTTTTGATAAATTTGAGTTTTCAAGCACTTAAGATTTGGCAATAAAAATATTGAATCAGGGGATATTATTTTGGAATTGTATATAATGAGACTATTTATCTTTGGTACAAGGTGGTCACACACGTGAAAAATCCTTTTGAAGTTTGAGCTTGATCAACGGAATAAATTCAACCACTCAATTTCACATCCAATGATCAAGATTAATTGTGATTACCTTGTACTAAAGGTAAATGGTTTCATTCTATATTTTTCCTATTATTTTTTAGTAATGATACTATGAGATCCTCTCACACCCATGTGAGTAGGATCACAGATATCTAGAAAAGTTATCAATAAACCTATTCACCCAAGTTCCACACTCATGTGATAACTTTTCTAAATATCTATGTCAAAATTTAATGGTGATCATTTGGGGTCCTACTTACATAGGTGTGGGAATGTCTCATAGTCTCATTTCTCTTGTTTCATTATTGTAAGGGCTTTATTTGAGGGATTCAATGTATAATATCCTCCCTCGAGAGTATATTGGCATTTATTTTACCAACCGGTAGTTGGATGATTTATAGAAGGAAACTTATTTTATGTGGCTAGGTATCCATCTTAAACAATTGAAACTAATGGTCCAAAAGTTTTCTTAATAGAATTATTAAATTTAATTTTTAAAATTTATTTATTTTTTCATATTCATGATCTCTATGTTAGAGATTATATATCATTAAAGATTAAGTTAAAAAATTCATCTCAAAAATAAATATTTAAGAGGCGCCTCATTTCTACATTGACTCGTAGAAACCGTGTCTTTATAGAATGTTGTATTTTGACCGATTAGTAGTAGTGAACTTCTGATGCAAATTTTCTCATCAACTTTTTGTTTACATATTCAATTTTGAAGGTTGGAAAGTTGTTCCTCTAGTAGTCAGACCTCTCTCTCTTTCTTTCTTGGATATGTAGTAAATAAGTTGTCAAGAGTCAACTTTTGGAATAAAATATATATATGATTTATTGGGGCGTGTGTACTTTCTAGAAATTTGACCACAAACTCGTTTGTTATACCTATTTTTGGTTTGAAAATGGGATTGACTCTCTCTTCATTTTTGCCCTATCTATCACTGGCATGATACTTCATGCACGAGAATTGTATCCATCTCAAAATTCAAAAATAGTAATAAGTCTAAAAAGGGCCTGACATTCGCAAAAGAAAAAAATGAAATAAAAATTGCTGAGTTAGAATATGATTTCATGACAAATGTTTATATAAGGTTAAGGCCTTAGACAATCAAACTAAAGGCGTACCTCAAAAATTCACCGAAGAAAGTTGTTTTGATGCTAAAGAGCCTTCAAATAAATCATCTAAAAAAGGACTTCAAGTCTTGAAAATAATGCATCTTGTAATGCATTATATAAACCGTTAATTTTCAAAATTTACAAGTGTTTCATATATTTGCTTGATTTATACTATTTTTTACGTTGTAAATTTTATAATTAGATATGAAAATAAAATTTCAGATCATCATAAATATTTTTTATACTAAAATGACATCTTTGTACACTAATTACCAGTGCCACTTACTTTAATTGTTTAGGGCCTCGGGGTGATATAGACCACACCCTAATTTTATACATGCAGCCCTACTCTTTTATTGTTGCATTGGGTTTCAAAACCCATTGTTCCCCAATTACAACCTAGTTGTACCTTAGTAGAAATAAGGAACATATTGTTGATGACCAATCACGATGAGATATTTTTGTAGAATTAATATATAAATACAGTACTGTATTAATCAATAATAGAAATATATCTAGTTATTCCTCATTACAAAAACCTAAACAATATATTCTTAATTTAAACTGAGTAACGACTAAGGTATTTTCAAGATAAAACTACTAAAATATCTTTGATTGTTCCTCATTCTAGTTACAAAACATATGAAATTTAGATTTTTTTTTTTTCAATTTTTTGGTGTAACAAGTTGAAATGAAAGAAAAATAAATAAAAAAAACATCTCAAATGTTATCTGGGATAATTTGGCCCGGTTAATAATTCACTATCCCAATTTTTTTTAAAAAATAACCGTTCCAAAAAAATAGGCAAAACTTTTTTCGCTTTAAATTTTTTAAATAGGGAAATTTCTCCAAAATTTAAACCGCTAAATAAGTTATTAAGCAAGGGCAATCCCACGTCCCCCTCTAAAGTTTGTGACAACAACCGGTGGTTCGTATGACGTTACGTGGCACCGGTGCCATTTTGGATACCATCATTCTTCACGTTAAAAAGTATCACAAAATAAAAAATAGGAGAAAAATGCATAAAAATATGGAAGGTGTTTAAAAAATTATCCAAATCTTTTGTTTAAGACAAGTTCAGTCATGACTTTTCAAAGATATCCCCACTGTCGGCTAATCTTTAGTTTACCTTCGTTTGGCTCATCCTTATTCACTGGTTAAGTATTGGTTTTTTTTTTGTTTTTTTTTTTTTTGCATTGAAGGTTTCAGTTTATTGAAAATTGGGCGATCTGTATTGTGAAATGCTGATTCAGATCCAAAATAAAGAGGTCGATCCAAGCTTCCTTTTGAATAAGTAATATTATTTTTATTAGTGTTTAAGTTTTTGTCTATATGGCTAATCAGATGTGGACGGATCCACCCAAAAGATCCCCATTTTGAAACAATGTAGCAATTCTTGGTGTCTTTATCCACAAATTGGTGGTGTGAATCGTATACCCACCTGTCAAATTGGCCAAATCGGGATCCAAATAGGTCAAGTAGGAGATTAGAATGGACCAAAAGAAAAATAATGGAATATTATATCTGTGTTTCAAAATCCGGATTAGTCGTATAGACCATTCACCCACATATCTGTGCCAGGTCACTAGATTGTCTAAATCAGTAATCTCGAAAAATGTTAATAAATAAATAAAATAAATATAAATATAAGGATTTATGAAGTGGGGATTTAAGGGGACCCAATAAAACATTATTAAATAATTTTTTTTTAAAAAAAAATATATAATAAAGGGTTTCAGGGAAACATGCTGTGACCCATAGCAGAACAAGTTCGATCACAATGGATTCCCATCCACGCCTGCGGCGATCCAGATCAAAATTGCCAGGTTTTTACACCCTGATATAGATATTAAATCATGTTTCATGAACCTGCAAAATTGATCGGAAACAGCAAATCCAAAACGGCGATTCCTAAGATGATATTCGATCCGAAACAGCCGATCCAATACGGCGATTCCTAAGAAAGAGTGATTCTTCGTTATATTTTTCCTCATAATTCGCACATAATTAAACAACTATTCTCAAATGTCTTTTCTGAAAAAGGCATGGGCATCTGTTCAATCATTTTAATTATTGTGAAAATAAAAATGCGGGGATGCTTAGCTTTTTCATGGTTGGCGGTGGCGGCCACGCAATGCAAAAGCTGGCCCAAGAGAGAGAAACAGAGGAGAGAGATAGGGGGGTGTTTAAAGAGTAAAACCTCGAGGAGTTTTAGAGAGAGTTAGCGAAGAACAAATTTGACAGCTTTATTATTGTTCCGTGTTTGCAGTTGCAGAGGGAAGATTTCCCAAATCTTCCCTTTGCAAAGAAGTATGAGAGCCTATCTGCCCAAGCATTTGAATCCATTGAATTAGGGTTTCTTTTTTGCAAGTTCGTGCAGAGGGCTTTAAAGCGTTTTCTTTTTCTTTTTCCTGTTCTCTGTTTCTTTTAGAGAGAAGGAAGGATTAGAAGAAGATGGCAACCAGTTTTGATCGGTGGCAGAAGGATGTCTTCTTTTCGGCGGCAGAGGAAGTTCAAGAATCGGCTGATTTGTATGTTTATGCCACCTCTCTCTCTCTCTCTCTCTCTCTTAATTTAATGGTGCCAAAGCGGGAATGTGATAGAAAAATATGAACGATAAAGAAAAACAGTGTTTTGATTATTGGAGAGTTTCGATGGTTTATTGTAATTATTGGGTTAATTGAATGGATGGTGATGCCTGGTTTGAGATCAATCCTTTTTGGCTTATTTGCTTTATTGATAACTTGTTTGAGAGAAGATTCCATTTTTTTCATGAAAATTTGGGAAGATGGGTCATTGTTTTCAATTTGTGATAAATTATCCTTGTTCATTTTCTAAATTTTTTTATCCCTTGCTTGGTTGCGAAATTTTTTTAATGTTCTTTTGTATAAGTTTGAACTTCGTGGTTTAGATAGAGATTTGTGATGCTCTGATATTTTTCTGGGTTTTCGAGAAAAATGATTTCTTTTTGTCACCAAGGTATTTTTCATGTGGTTGTGATCTTTGTTATGTTGGTGGGTGAAATTATTTTTTTCCTCTCTAATCGGTGACTCTTGTGAGAATTTTTCTGATTTTCTGATGTGTTGTGGCTTTGTTACTGGTATTTTGACATGGGATTTTTGTTCTCCCAAGGAGCTTTTCGTGTCCATTTGAATAGAGATTTTGGGTAGATTGATATATTTTGACATTTCAATGGAATCCAACAATCTTTTTGTGCTGGATTTGTTTGCTTTATAGTATTGTAATTTTTGGGGCCATGTTAAAAGATTTTTGGGTTTAATAGATTTCCATTGTTCTGGTATACTGTTCCATTGTGTTTTTTGTTGGTTCACCGTCTAATTCACTGCTTTAGCTTTTTATACAGTTCTTTTATGCTTTGGTTTTTGAGGAGGGGCGATGTGTGGTATTTTGATTTCACAGTGGTGTTAGAAATGTTGGGGCAATTTAAAGCATCGTGGGTTTTTAAATGGATTTCCATTTTTTTATTGTTTTGAAATGTTAAATTGCTTTTTGGTCAATTTACCTTCTAAAATTCTTCTTTTTACTTATTAGATAGTTACTGTTATGTCCTTTTTTTTATAGAGTATGCGGAAGGATTTCTGTTATTTTGATTAAAATAAGTGTTGGCCTTCTAAGATGATTCTTGGAACTTTTGGGTTTTGAATGTTTCAGAATGGAATCGGTTTATAGGACGTGGTTAAAGGATCGAAGAGAGGGATCGCGGTCAGATGATTCAGATGAGCTTAGAAGGGATCTTCATACTGCCCTTGGTACTGCGAAGTGGCAGGTAGTTTGTTGTCCTGGTTCGTGCATGGGGGTTAGATTTACTAATCAAGAAAAAAATTCAGTTTTTTGGTTGAACTATGAGTTTTTTATTCTATAGTTTTTTTTAGAAACTTGGTTTCTTTAATACCTGTTTCTTCTTTGTCTGGTTCTTGTTAGATTTTTCCCTTTGCCATCTCCAATTGAAACTTACAATTAATTGTTATATTCTTTCATAAGAAGGTATTTACTTAATATGAGGTTTCTATAAGGTCTAGGCTTTATGAAAAGAAAATAAACCCTCACCTCAAATCCTCGTCTGGAAAGCACTTTCGACAACAGAAATCTCCATGATAGCTATAAAATCAATTTCCAACAACACCAACAATGAAATTCGAAACTCAAAAAATGGTACAGATCATGTGGATCTATGAACACCTATTTTTAGTGTGAAATGGACTATCTAGATAATGTTACAATGTACACTATTTTTAGAACTTGAAATCTTTTTTTTTTTTACGCAACCATAATGTTCAAGCCAAGATGATTGATGTAAAGGTCATCTAATGCTTGAATTGCAACTTTCGATGAGTTATGAGGTGAGGCTTTACTTATTTTGATAGAGCTGCAGCCCTATCAAACCATTTTCCATTTGCTTATCAGAGAAACAAAGTTATAGCTGTCTTTTGTTATCAATTATTAGAAATTTTATTGTTCCTTTGCCTTGGTGACATGGGAAGATGGTAGCTTCTGGGGTAAATATGTAAATAAGCAGAAATGCGGAATTGAACTTTATGTTTTGGTTGCTGCTTCTTTTCTTATGCAGTTGGAGGAGTTTGAGAGGGCTGTCAAGTCATGTCAACAAAATTCCATGCTTGATGATAGTGCATCAAGACACAAGCAATTCGTGCTGGTGATTGAAAACCAGATTGCTCGTATTGAAAAGGCATTGATGGAGTCTGCTATTGAGGAAGGGAAGGAAGGGTTTCGATGGGTACAGTTAGATAAAGAAGAGAGAGATGATTTGGCTCTTTTTCTCTCAGGTACCCCACAAGGAAAGGCTGATAAGTCCAATCCTCTTCCATTGGACAAAGAGGTCTCCCATGAAAAGAAACCTGTTCCTTGTGGAGAACCGTGCCGTATAAAAGAGTTCAAAGAAATAGTGACCATAAACAATGACGCAAAATTTGTGGTTGAATTTGAAGCCAAAGAACTTCATGGAACGAGAGATGGAAATTTCAGTCATGGAGAGAGCATAAATGGGCATAGAAGAACTACAAGCGAGGGTTCAGATATTGGGGCTTGGAAGATTGTAATTGCAGATGGGGATGAAAAGACAAGATCGGAAACACTCGCAGAAACATCTTCACAAACCCATGGCTTCTGTGGTTTGCTCAAGGGTATTGAATCTAGAACCAAAATAAAGTGGTCCAAAAGTGGGTTTGGAAAAGGAAAAGATGGAGATCCTTATGAGGCTGATATTGTGAGCTCGAGTTCTCAGGTCTGGAGAGGTCCTCAACAGTTGACTCAGGTTAGTGCACATCCTCTCAAAATCTGGCTACTTTTTAAGGGTCCATAATATTTTCAATAGCTTTACATTCTTTGGATTCCAATTGCTAGAACAGTGTCGTACGACATCATTGTTGATTGTATATGTGATGTTGTTCTCCGAGATGATGTTTTCTAGTTTGCATTTTAAACAAACTCAGATTCGCTCAATGAATACACTTGTTTTGGGTCTATTGAATTTTCCGAATGTAATCCGTTTTGCAAATGAGTGAGTTTATCAATGAATAGGTCAGTTTTGGTCTGGGTTTTTCATTTTGAGTGAGTTTATTGATGAATATAAGAAAATATAAGAAAAATATAAGAAAAATGGGTCCTTGATTTGACTTGGTATTCTCATTGTTCGAATGAGGAGTGAGTTTTGAGCACTAGATTCGATGGTTATTGGTCTTGGGCTCACTCAATGTGTTCAGCTGTATGATTTTTTTTGTTTTTATTATAGGACTTTGGGTCTCATATAATTTGTAACTGAAACAGGGAATTAACAGGATTTGCGAAAGAAGTAGGAATTGTTTTGATTATAGCCGAAATGATTTCAATGATTATCGGGCTAAGCAGCTTCTTGGGTGGTGCGGGGGAATTCAGAAACGCCTTCAACGGTCTCATTATAGTGTCCAGCAGAGCTCTTCTCGCCATATCTTCAAGCTTTTGCTAACAATTATCTGTATTGGTGAGTGAAATTTGTGAGGTTGGGAACTTTTAGTTTACTTCTATACATGCAGATTTACTATCCTTAAATTTATGAGGTGAAGACCTCAGCTTATGATTTGAGATCTTGGTATTTTATTAGTTAGTAGAACTCCATCTATGGTATTGACTCGTAACCCATGTGAATGTTGTATCATTATAGGTTGTCATGTGTGCATCTCTAGTTGTATAATCATAGGTTTTTACGTCATATGTTGTGATTTCTTTTTCAATACCAACTAAGAATCAGGAGTCTTTTAAGCTTGTACAGAAACATTCATTTGCTTTTCTTATGTAGCTTAACGTAGCGTTTGCTGCTTATTTATGAAGTAATTGGTTTTGAAATCAATTAGACTGGAGTAATTAAGCAAATTAAGAACTATGAAGAATTTGTAAACTCACATGTTCAATAGCTACCCTTTGACAATGGTTCCTTTTTTCTTTTTTCTTATTGTCGAAATTTATTGGCAAAATAGTGGGTAAGAAGACAATCATTGCACGGGGCTTTTATTTTCTGTGACTTGTATTTTTTTATTTATCTTTATTCAGTCTAAAGTATAAATCAGAAGAACAAGACCATTCTATATGACTTTAGGTCATTATATCGTAAATGGAGAATACTAGGCATTTGCCTTGTTTTAAATTTTTTAATTTGTCATAGTCCAAGTTAGCAGAAGCTAATGGGTTCTCACTGATTTACAGCCGTGTTTATATTTTATGCAATTTGAAGGTGCTTCATACACCACTGATGGCTAGGACCAAAGGTACTCAATCCCCCACATCTTATTGGGATATAATCATTTTCGTTAATATTGTTCTTAAGTTATTTATCTTTTCCATACAAGAGTTATATTTCCATTGATAACTTGATCACTCACCAGGTTCACAAGCTTGTCATCCAGAGCAAATTCAGTGGCTTTGAAAAATACCACAAATTTAATATGCTCATATTTTTACAGTCATATGCTCGTGAAATAAATTATTTTGAGTGAAAATATTATCAGTTTGCTCTTTTTGATGGATTATTTTTGGGCTTTGAAAAGCGGTATTTTCAAGCTCTTGAAAATCCTGCCTCTTAAAAATGTACCTCTGGTTTTAGTCGATTTTTTAAGATCCCTTTCTTGTGAAAATTCCTGAATCCAAGTCTCAATTATTTCATGATCTTTAGTATGTATGGATCAAATATTAACTTCTTTTTTTTGTCATAATGTAGGTTCATTGATTGGCATGAAGTAAGACCACATTTGATCATTTATACTTACCATGGCCAGCTCTCTTTAGATATCAATCCTTGTGATTTGCCCATTTCATTCTCTCAAATCTGTTCCATCCAAGATGATATCATGTGGGGTAACTGGCAATGAGATGAAGAATCACTGGAGAATGATGCTGCACGAGCTCTCCCTGTCTCGTTGGTCTAGAAAGTGAAAACTATACCACGCATTGTATAGTATGTTCAAAATATTAGTTTAGTATGCCTGCATCGGTGGTCAGATGTATATTTGAGACTTGCAAATTAGGGCATAGATGGTATGGATGGGAGTTTTGAGGCAAGTTTATTTGATGTATATTTGAGACTTGCAGATTAGGGCATAGATGGTATGGATGGGAGTTTTGAGGCAAGTTTATTTCTGGTGAAGATGAACTATTGTCGTGTGCATTTCTTCTTGGGCATACTGATATTGATGTATTGATCTGGTCTCTAAATGGAAGGGACCAATTGTTTTTGTGAGGCTATGTTGCAGTGTGGGTTAAGTTTTGCTTCTTTATCTTCTATGTATGACCATTTCATAGTTCGGATGTTGGATTTTAATTATGGAAAATTGTTTCATGCGGGCTGGACCGCATCAATGCATAGGCTGACTAAAAAGTCTACAACGTCATCTTTAAGATGGATGCGAGAGTAAGTGTTCAATCTAAAAACAATGGAAACTAATAGTCCAAATGTTTTTTTTCTAAAATTATTATTTATCATTTTTAAAATTTATTTATTTTTTCATATTTACGATCTCCATGTTAGAGATTACATGTCCTTAAAAATTAAGTTAAAAAATCCATCTCAAAAATAAATTTATTAATAAGCCTGCATTTCTACATATGTGTGGTCTTGGACTCATAGAAACTGGGTCCTTTAATTATTTCGTTTGGGATTTCGAGTGATGCTGATTACATTATTTGGGATTTTTAGTGAGTGAAATCAAGATCTCTTGTAGGATCCCCTTAAGAACTTCTCTTGCACAAAAGTAATTTCATATCTATATCCAGCCATCGTGAGAGAGAGAAATCGAAATAAATATATTTGGAGAAATCTAGGTGACATTAATATGCGATAAGATGAGAGAGTACATTTAGGTGGCCTAGATATGTGAGAGTGAAAATTCGAAATAAATATATTTGGAGAAATCTAGGTGACATTAATATGCGATAAGATGAGAGTAAATTTAGGTGGCCTAGGTATGTGGCGCATACTCAAGAGCAACATTAGTTGGATGTGTGAATTAGTTTAAATTAATATGCGATAAGATGAGAGAGTAGACTTAGGTGGCCTGCGCATGTGTGGTGCATACTCAGTCCAACATTTGTTGGATGTGCGAGTTAGTTTAAAAGGAAAGTATGAGCGAGCTAATTTAAAGGGAAGGTTAAAAAAGAGTAAGGGTAGGCTCAAAATGATATAGTTGGAAGTCATGACAAAAGATATAGAGATTTATGACCTCACTAAAAATATACACCTTAATAAAGTAAAATAACATATCATGATTTACAGATTTATGACCTCACTAAAATGTGACCTTTAATAAAGTAAAAAAATAAACTGAGATTTGTGTAGCTGACTCCAATTAATTAAAAAAAGATTTTGATGATGATGATATAGTCATCGTGAGATAAATGAGAAAAAAAGGTATAGAATACATAATTCTATTGGAATGTACTTGCAAGTCCAAACTCTTGGGCCAGCTGGGCTCCGCGTTCACCTCTGAAGCTGTTCCAGCGAGCAGCCCATTCATTCCTTCTCCCTCCCCAGCTCGTTCAGTCTACTCTCATTCCTAGGTCTTCGATATGTCCGCCTGATCGAACGGATAGGGCTAGTTGCATCGCCAGTAGGGCGATTCTCGAAATTCCTTCGCGGCAGTGTATATGCAGATACTTCAGGGAGCTAATAAGGTAGGCAACCGGCCGGACATGGGATGGGTTAGCTTGGCTCGGGACCCCACCGGCTCTGGGCTGGAGCTGATTGGATTGGCTCAAGTTTTTCAAGACCAGGCTGCCTGGCTTCTAGAGCTGACTAAATAAGAGACGCCCCAACAAAGCTAAAAAAACAAGTTGAAACTAGGAGACACCAATACAGTTTGAAAAGTTCGATTAAGAAATATGCCAGTTTTCAAAAAAGCGACCATAGTTTCAAAGGAATTTCCAGCATGTATTCCTTTCGGGGTTTTATTTTTTTGGGTGCAAGAATTCAGTGAGAAATTTAGGCATATGTACCTCCAAGTTATTGACTTATTGTTGCTTAAAATATCGATTCTCAAAGTTTAATATCATTGGCCATACTTTTTTTTTTTTCGAAATAACCTTTATATGTGACTTTCAAGGTCCATGGTTAAAACTTCACATCTCTCGCATGTGAAAAGAAAAGAAATGAATAGAAAAACTTTATTGACTTCGGATCTTGAAGGTTTGATGGCCCTTTGGGTACTTGAAACTCATGTTAATAAATTAAAAATAAATTTGGACCTTGAAGGTACCAAGTTTTAGGCTTCAGAACTTTGAGGTCTGAAATAACCACAATTTAAAAAAAAAGAAAAGAAGAAAAAGAACTAAAAAGATGAATATGAACCTCAAATCAAACTATGGAGGGAGATTTTCTAAAGGAAAAAGACGGGGACATATGAATAAAAATTACTTAACTTCTCATGCTCGCCTATTCTGTTTCCCGCCTTAAAAACTATGAATTCCAAACCCTATTTAAACTATTAAATCTCTCTTTCTCTCTCTTTTTTTAGAAGGACCCGGTTTCTACGTGGCCCAGCTCGCATATTTAGAAATGCCGGCCTCTTAATAAATCTATTTAAGGACATGTAATCTCTAACATGAAAATCATGAAACTAACGGTACAAGTGTTTTCTTGTTAAAATTATTATTTTTGTTTTTAAATTATAATTATTTTTTATATTCATGATCATCGTATTAGAGATTACGTGTCCTTAAAAGTTTATTGCAAAATCGATTTATTAATAGGCCGGCATTACCATATATGCGGGCTTGGGCGCATAAAAATCGGGTCCTTCTAATTATTAAGAGGACATTGTGAACTTAAAACAGCAAAGCAGAATCATGAGATAACCCAATGTCTTCTTATGCTTTAGAGCAAGAAGGAGAAGAAACCCTGAATCCCATTCCTCTAACCCTAATCTCCTTTCAGAAGTGCACTCTAGGCTGCCCAATCCTTGACTCCTTCTTCAATGGCGGAATCCCTTGTGGCTCTATAACTGAGCTTGTTTCAGAGAGCTCGTGTGGAAAAACCCAACTCTCTCTGCAACTTCTTCTCTGCTCTCTCCTCCCTCGCTCTCATGGTGGTCTCAACTCAACCTCTCTCTACATTTTCTCAGAGCCTCCTTTCCCCTTTCGTCGCCTCAAAACTCTCTCTGCAACATTCAAGCACCCAAACCCTAGCCCCAGCTTCGACCCCTGTGACCACATCCTCGTTCATGGAGTCCAGACTTCTGAAGAGCTTCTAGAGTTCCTGGATCGAGTTGAAACCCTAATTTCTCAGCCTCTGATAAGGCCTGTGAAGCTGGTTGTATTGGACTCCGTTGCTGCCCTTTTTAGGTCTGAGTTCGACAACCACCTAGCTGATCTATCTCGAAGGTCTTCTCTCTTCTTCAAGATCGCTTCAAAGCTCAAGGCTTTAGCGTCGAAATTCGAGGTCGCCATTGTTGTTACAAACCAGGTGGTTGATTCAGTGGGTCTGGAGGGTTTGAATGAAGTGCAGGTTGGGAACTACAGTTGTTTGTTCTCGTCAGGGAGAAAGGTTTGCCCTGCTTTGGGCTTATCTTGGGCTAACTGCGTCAATTCTAGGGTTTTTCTCTCGAGGGATGAGGAGAAAGTTGCAGACAACAAAATGTGGGGTTCTAATAGTCAAGCTTTGTCAGAGAATGGTGGTTTTGAGGATGGTTATGGTGATTTTCGAACACGAACCAGAAGGAAAATGCAGGTTGTTTTTGCCCCCCATTTGCCAAAGTTTTCTTGTGAGTTTGAGATCAGGAGAGATGGGGTTTTTGGGGTGAAGCCGTGAAACCTCTGGTTTTATATTTTTGAGGAAATAGCTGAAAGCACTATAAGATCTTACCAGTGAAATGTGAGGTGCTTCCTCTATTTAAAGAAGAGGCTAAAGAGGAGGGGAATTGAGGGTATTTGTTAGTTTTGTGGCATATATTTGTGCAGAAATTTGAAGATTCTAAATTTCAATATAGAGATTTCTTCACGAATTGCATTTTTGTTAAATTAAAATTTGAAGAATGTAATTTCAATATAATTTTTGATAGATTTCTTCTCAGAATTGCATTTTTGTTAAATGAAAATATAATCCATTGAATTAGGGCCCTAGCATTTTTTGATCTCATCTTGTTTGTTTGCTTGCAAATTCCAAGCACTCGAAATAAACAAAAACAGAGAAATAAGATAGAGACAAAAGATTGGTTCCAAATACTTTATTTTTTCTTTTTCACATGATCATGTGAAGTGGAAAAGATAATTATAGTGGTAAATTCAGACCAATAAAAAAATCAACAGTAATTCTTTACTGCCCAAAAGAATTATTTGTCATCCATAATTTACAGTATAAATCATGGAGAATGTTGGCATTGGGGTTTTATGTGGAATGCTTTATCTGCCTAGGAACCATTGCTTGCTTTCTCATCCAATCCCCGCTCACGCAGGGTCCGGAGAGGGATGAATGGGAAACAGTTTTAACTTTTGGTTTTTTATGCACAAAGTGATCACCGATTTCTCGCCCTTGTTAGCCAATTTTTTTACCGTCTCACCAAGTTGCGGCCTTTTTTCTCATCCAATCCCATATAGTTCAAATAAGGTATGTTATCACATGTATTTCTCATCCAATCCCATATGGTTCAAATAAGGTATGTTATCACATGTATATAGTTCAAATAAGGTATGTTATCAACAAGGAATTTTCTTTAGAGAAATATAAAAGAAGATTTATTTACCTTTTGTATAAAGGCATCAGAATCACTCTTGGCCATATAATTTGAAATCGAAAGCTCGGGGTTGTCCCATTGACTTGTCCAAAAAATTGAATGGAAATTTCTCGTCCTTACGCCAAATTCTTAGATTTGACATCTCATGGCTATGGATTACCGGGATGAAATTTTTTTGAATTTTATATCACGCTATCAAATTTTACATTAAATAGTAATACGCAATAGTGACATTCATTGAAGGGCCGAAGTCTTTAAAAAAAAGATTTTGAAGGTTTCTTTTAATAAAAAAGTGCGGTTTGGATAGAGCTGAGGCTCTACACAATCAAAGTAAAAGTGTACTTTCAAATAGTATCGAGAAATGTGGTTTGAATTAGAAATATTTGTGATTACTTTAAAATATATTTTTATTTGTGATTACAAAATTTAAAGTTTCAAAAATATTATAGATTGAGCAGATCTATGAAAACTTGAAAATCTTGAAAATTGACGATCCAAATTTCATTACAAGATACATTATTTCCGATTGTTTTTTCATGTTCATGCATCATGAGATCAAGATGATCAATTTGAACATATTTGAGCATCAAAACAACATCTTTTAATAAATTTTTTGAAGTGCATCCTAATTTGATTGTTTAATGCAGTGGTTTAAAAAGCGGATTGGTGACCCGCATCGGACATCTCAAAAACCATCCAGATCGGCGAATCGGAGATTCGGATCGAGAATCGGCTGAATCAGTAGGATTAAACCTTAAAAAAAATCTGAAAAAAATATTGAAATTCATTATAAATGATGTTTTTTAGGAATTCAATAAGAAATAAGGGTATTCCATTAAGAATTTTCATTTCTTTGCATGAATATGCGAATATTGATATGTTCTTTTCCCTGCATAAACTACTATTTACCCTTTAATTTACATTACACAAAAGGATAAACATAGAA